GCCCAGAGACAGGGTTTGTTAGTAAAACTACCTTCTGCGATCTGACATAATTTTTTGATATGTTCGTCTCACTGATTTGGCATTTCTTTTTGGCATATTTGTCTTACTAAGCTCAATTAGCCTGTTCAAATTCCCTTTTGATATAATTTGCATGAATTTCATCGGAGAGAGGGAGTTATCTCAAGCCTGTGTACATAATTTTTTTTACTCAGAAATCCTTCTTTCTTTTGTTGTTGTAAATCTCTTCCACTTACTTCAATCCTTGAATTTGTCAGCTATTTGGGAGTTAATCTAGGGCGCGCTGGTAGTGTACAGGTGTCTTTTTAGTTGTCATCTAGACGGGAGCAACAAAATGTCCGCGAAAGTGCAGAGCGACATGGCAAAGAGTTAACCGAAAATCAGCATCAACTTCGCAGTGCTACCATCCATGCCAGAAAGTCCATCAGTAAGTGGTCTATCTTGAAGAGCAAGAATTGATTAACGTTGTGCCATCATTCTGCCTAATTTTTTTTTTACAAAATCTTGCAAATCATGGTGGTATATTTCGCTTATACGAGCTTATTTTGTGGTCGCCGAGAACTCAAAGAATAAAAATATTGAGTGTTTCAACTGATAGGCATATCTACTGTCATTTTAGACGAGTCAGCTCGTTCCCTGCTACTTGAAGGAGGCTCTGAGGAGGCGGAACGAAGAAAGCGACTAATGGACGAAAAAAGTTTGAAAGAAGATGCTGTAAAGGTGAGGTATCCCATGAACTTTCGTCTACCGTAGACCCATTCTGTTACAGACGACCGAACGATTGTCAGATTTGTTATCAAAGATGGGCGAACAAGTTGCGCAAAGTGAGCAAACAATGGATAGCTTAGTTCACTCTAGTTCGGTACTGGTGCAAACCCACAAGGAGTTTGAGGGTCACGCAAGTCATATCCAGGTACGAACTTACTTTCTCACAACCACGATATCTTTTATTTTTCCTAGACCGGGAACAAGCTTTTATCGAAGTACGAGAGAAGGGAGATAACAGACAAAATTCTGGTTACTATAGCACTTGTATTCTACTTTGCGGTTATTTATTACATTCTTCAAAAAAGAGTATTCTCTAAAATTTGGTTCTGGTGATCGTCGGTGCTGTTTGCATAATGTTTTGCCTCATTACACACTGTGATATCCTTTTTGTATAAATTTATTGTAATTAAATCAAATTTGGAACTGTTAAATGAAGTTACTGCATGGGCCGAAGTGCTAAATACTGTCACTTTTTGCTCTGTTGTGCTGGGTTACCAGATGAGTCTCAATCATTAGTCATGGAAGTTGACGATGCCCCCGTAAAGATGCAGGACATGGTTCGAGAATATGCTGAATTGTTGAGGCAGTCGAATGACGAGGTAATTTTTCTCTTTTGACGGCGAGATGCAAATCTTCTTAGCTCAAAAACTTCGTTCAGGATGCGAAACGCATGGTAACTCGTGTTGAGGGAATCCTCGAGGCTACAGATGACTCAGGTCGAAGCACGCCTCACTTTGCTG